CTCATGAGCTAGAGCAAGCCCATAGAACACCTTTTACTAGCAATTATTCAAAATAAATATGGCTTCGGCGAATGCAGAAGATCGGCCCACAAACTCCCACAAGTCACGGTCCACGTATCGAGACATACACATTCGGTCGGGAAAGCAAGTCCACCCATGATATAAATATTCATACCTGGACTTGGGGGACCACTATTACGCCCCTATCTGAACCACCTCGGAATGTCCACCACCACACACTCCGATCTGCTAGACACCCACCCGAAGTGGTTCCGAAGTGATCTTCCCAATGTCAACAACCTGCTATCACACTGCGAGACATAGGCGATCCTGCTGAACTGGTTGAAAGTGCACTCCGAGGACCTCTATCAGAAGATCCGCCGTCAATTTCAGAAGGAGATCTTTGCCAAGATCCTTTCTGCCCCTAAGGTTTAAATTGATTTGACGTCTCCATGAAGCGAGTTGGTGTGACTTATCAACTTTATGTCAACTCAACTCGGGAAAACCAATTACCCACCCACTCTACAGACGCGACTGATTGACGCCTATGAGCAGACACCTCATATCGTCAGATGTATACACGTGCCCCACATCCAACGGTTCATCCCACCTATAAATACCCAAGGGTTGGCAAGAGGCAAAGGTAATGAAACTCTTACTACATAGCAAGCATATATATATATATATTTTCTCCTTCCCCTTATTATTTTGCACAAGCTCTGGGTATTGTTCCGACCACCTGAACCTGACTTGACCGTTGGAGTGTATATGGCCGCCACCATCCCGGCTGGTCCAGACTGTGTGCGTCTGACCATGCATTGATTGTGCATAGGGAGGAATACGTGGAGTAGCTCTCACTTGGCCATGTACAAGGTCTAATTTTCGAGGTCAACAGATTGGCGTCGTCAGTGGGAAGCACTTCCCGTTCATAGTTCTACATTCTCCACTGGAGAAATCACTGAAAAACTAGCGACTAACCCTGAAAAGGGCACGTTCTTGAAAAAGAATAAAGTCGAGTTATAATCCAAGTTCTTACCACCCTTGAAAAAGGAGATAGGATGAGTTATAACCATGAAGATGACAACCCCATGAGAAAGGCCTATGAAGGAATGAATATCCCCAGAGACCCCATCACTGACGTCGCCGAGGTGAAAGAACAGCCATGCTCACTGAAGCAATGGCTAAAATAGCTGCGGGCATGAGAGACATCGCACCTCAGAATATGGCGATGCATGAACTTCTCATGCAAGCCCGAGGTCATCAAGGCTCTCAAATGCCCCAAGGATCTTACCCAATGTAGGAAGCCCCAGTATCTCGTTCCCGAGGCCACACCAATTAGCACAGAGAACGCCCCCTCGAAAGAGAAGTGGACGCCAAAGCCACATTTTATGTGCAAGGGAACCAGCCATCAGAACCACACTTGGGGACAATTTTCCTCAAGAATATGAGGAACAGAGGTCGGTAAGCGCCTTCGATCGGATAGGAAAGGATCCTAGCAACAGGGTCCGCCCAGTGAGAAGATCAGTTCGGCCAGATCAGGAACAAGAACAGGCTCCCTATCCTCCGAAAAATAGGAGGGACATGAGAAACCTAGTCAATTGGGGGAGTTAAGGAGAAGCACCTCCACCCCCCAGAACGTTCAAGATGATGAAGGGTCAGATGGGCCGTGTCGGTCTTATGAGATTGACGATGATGATGATAACCTCCATTTATCAAGGGAGATCCAAAGCTTCCCAATGCCAACAAATTTCATGCCCCCTAATATCCCCAAGTATGAAGGAAAGGGGACCCGGAGAAGCACCTCACCAAGTATATGAACAAATGAGTCTCAGGAGAGCCTCAGCTCCTTTGAAATGCAGAGCCTTCCATTTAACACTAGGCGGAGCCGCCGAAGTGTGGTACAGCAGGCTTCCTCCCCTAAACATTAAAAGTTGGTTAGATTTGAAGAAGGCATTCTTAAATCAGTACCTCTCGTGAAGAGAAGGAGAGGCCCCAGTGTAACGCCTGCAAAACATGAGGCAGGCCCTTGGAGAGACACTGAAAAGCTATCTCGCCAGGTTTACGGATGAAATCACATACTGTGAACAGGTCACTGACAGAGAAGCCCTTTCAGCCCTAAAAGGTGGCCTCAGCATAAACACTTTGTTCTGGAGGGACTTGTGCAGCCAGAATCTTTCCACCTATGACGAACTCGTGGAAATGATGAGAGTTCAAATTGTGAGTGAAGAAATGATCGATCACCAAAACCGTGCCGCACAGGGACTTCCGTCACCTCAGAGGCAGGTAGATCGAGGACCCGCAGCACACCTTGTTACTCAGCAATGGACTCAAGCAGGACACACAATAACTCCCACCTCCGGACAGGCACTGGCTTCCGCCACACTAAATGCAGTGCCAGTATTGGTATATAAAAATGCTCTTGGCAAAGCGGGGCCATCTGGAAAAAACGATAGCAAGAAAAAGAAAAAGAAGCGATCAAACAGGCCCTTAAAAGGGGCAAGGTTTTGCACTTTCCATCAACTCTATGGGGATGATACTAACGAATGCAGAGACGCTCTTCGACGCCTAGACCAAACCGACCCACACCCCTCCAGGAGAAATGAATATTCTCGTAGATCTGTCTCCCCGAACAGGAGAGATCGAAGGCACAGAGAGCAGTCACCTCGGAGAAGAGAATTAAGGGACCGAGAAGAGTCCAGGCAGAAAGATCAGGCCCCATTTTCTGGGGGCCAAATCATTAGGAAAATCGACCACCATCATTGGGGGACCCCACATTGGTGGCAATACCAGGAATGCCCAAAGAAATTAGACAAGGGAAGTAAAGGACCCACCAATGATCACTTACATCGTCAACGAGTCCCAAGAGGCCAACAGGATGGCCCCAATTACCTTCTCCCAGGAAGATGCGCAAAGAGTTCACCATCTTCATTGCGAAGCACTGGTTGTGAAAGCCGTAGTAGCCAGAAATGGGCTCAAATGCATGCTAGTCGACAATGGCAGTTCGGTGAACATATTGCTCGGCTCCACCTTTGACAAAATGCAGATTAAACATGGGTTGATCCCCATGACCGACCCACTATTCGAATTTACTGGGGACAGCATCGTCCCACGAGGGTGGATCACTCTACCCGTCGAGATGGGTTCGGCACCCCTAGTGGCCCAACATTTCATGGAATTCTTAGTGGTAGACCACAGATCGGCCTATCATGGAGTATTGGGTAGACCCGCTTTGAAAGATCTTTGGGCTGTCACATCCATCCACTACTTGTGTACGAAATTCCCAACTGAACATAGGATTACAACGGTCCGAGGCGATCAGATGGGCTCCAGGGCATGCTACTTAAACTCGCTGCAAAAGTCGAAGCCCTGAACTGTTAATGTAATCTTAACTGAGGTTCCCACTGAAACCAGTACAGACGAGGAAATGCTCGACGCCCCTGAACAAGGGCATCCCTCTGAACAAGAGGAAGACTTCGACATGGAAGAGGCCCCTGAACAAGGGCACCCTCTTGATGAGTTAGATCCTTGAATAATTGACTCTTAACCAAATGCAACCCCAATGGAAGAACTGGAAACTTTCTTAACCAACCCAGAAAACCCTAGTCAGGTCTTGCATATAGGAAAGGCACTGTCCCCTGAAGCAAAAGAAGAGATGATAAGCTTCCTGAAAAGGAACTTGGATGTCTTTGCTTGGAAGCATGAAGACATGGTGGGAATAGATCCAAGGATCAATTGCCACCATCTTAACATCAACCCTCTTGTGCCCCCATCGACAGAAGAGATGTACCCTCAATCCGGAGAGGTACGAAGTACTGAAAGACGAAGAAAACAAACTTAGCCACAGTGGTTTCACAAGGGAAGCCATTTACCCGAAGTGGATATCCAACCCAGTTCTGGTGAAAAAGCCCAGCAAAAAGTGGAGGGTGTGCGTAGACTTCACAAACTTGAATAGGGCGTGCCCTAAAGATAGCTGCCCACTTCCAAGGATAGAGCAACTTATAGATTCCACTGCTGGACACGAACTGCTGAGCTTCATAGATGCATACTCAGGGTACAACCAGATACCCATGTTTCGACCTGATGAGGAAGCTACGTCGTTTATTACGGACAGAGGTCTGTACTGCTACAAAGTCATGCCCTTTGGATTGAAGAATGGCGAAGCTACATATTAGAGGCTTGTCACATGATATTTCTCGAACTCATTGGCAAAACCATGGAGGTCTACGTGGATGACATGTTAGTCAAAAGCCTCCAAGCAGCCGAACACGTAAGTCACCTCGACCAAACTTTTCAGAAACTTAGAAAATATAAGATGAAATTGAATCCCCTCAAATGCACCTATGGAGTGGCTTCGGGTCAGTTCTTAGGATATATTGTCAATCAAAGGAAATTGAAGCAAATCCAGTGAAAATAATGGCCTTGCTAGAGATGAGGTCACCTCAGAAACCAAAGGAGGTCCAAAGCCTCAATGGTCGGATAGCCGCACTTAGTCGCTTCATCTCCTGAGTCACAGACAAAAGCTTGCCTTTCTTCAATGTGCTTAAGCAAGGAAAGAAGTTCCAATGGACTTCTGAATGTGAGAAAGCCTTTCAGGCGCTGAAAAAGTACCTCCCTCCTGTCGAAACCTCAACCAGATGAGTAGCGGTTTTGGACGTGGCGGTCAGCGCTGTCCTAGTTAGAGAAGAAAGTGAGCGCCAGCTTCCAGTGTATTACGTCAGCAAAACACTTCTCCCAGCTGAAACACGCTACCCAGACATGGAGAAACTGGCACTCGCCCTTATCACAGTCTCAAGAAAACTGAGGCCATATTTCCAGGCCCACTCAATCGAAGTTTTCAGCAGCTTCCCATTGAAGCAGGTGATATAGAAAATAGATACATCAGGACGCCTACTAAAATGGACAATCGAGCTCAGTGAGTTCGATCTATTGTTCCGATCTCAACATCCCAACAAGGGCCAGGCCCTTGCAGATTTTATGGTTGAGTTTGCCAAAGTCCCGAAATGGAGGCGACAATGGAACCAGTCGAGCCCCCCACATGGAAACTATTCGTAGATGGGTCCTCAAGAGAGACTGGCTCTGGGGCAGGGATCGTCTTGGAAAGCTCGGAAGGCCACAAGCTAAACTTCACAGTAAGGTTCGACTTCAAAGTCTCGAGCAACGCTGCTGAATACGAGGCCCTTCTGGCAGGTCTTAGACTTGCTAAAGAGATGCAGGTCAGAAGGCTCCTAACGAGCAGTGATTCTCAACTTATAGTGAATCAAGTCAATGGGAACTTCACGGCCAAGGACAGTAGCATGATTGCATACTTGAAGTTGGTTCTGAACCTACTTCCTCATTTTGAAAGGTTCGAACTGACTCAAGTCCCCCGCCTAGAAATTACACATGCAGACGCCCTTTCAAAACTGGCTAGCAGCAAGCATTCAGAGCTGCTAAAGATTGTCCTTATTGAGCACTTATCAAAACCCTCCACTTTCGGAGGTGAAGAGGTACTATGGATAGAAGGCACCCCATTATGGATGCAGCCTATCATCGCCTATTTGAAGGATTAATCACTGGTTTCTTCTAAAAACGAAGTGCGAAAGTTAAGAAGAAGGGCTGCACACTTCGTCCTGCAAGAAGATACTCTTTACAAGAGAGGCTTCGCCTCGCCACTTCTCCGATGCGTGGGAGGCAAAGAGGCCACATACATACTCAGGGAAATCCATGAGGAAATCTGTGAAAATCACTCCGGAGGAACGGCTCTGGCACACAAGGTTCTCCGTCAAGGCTACTTCTGGCCGACCCTGAAAAGGGTGTTTGCCAGTTTGTCCAGAAATGTGACAAGTGCCAGCGCTTCTCAAATATTCAAAGAGAATCTTCTCAGAGCCTCTCCGTAGTAACCAGCCCTTGGCCAATCGCCAAGTGGGGCATTGACTTCATTGGTCCACTCCCAAAAGGAAGAGGAAGCACAACTTTCGCCATTGTCGCCATTGACTACTTCACTAAATGGGTCGAGGCTGAACCCCTTGCCAAGATCACCGAGGTGAACACTACTAAATTCATCTGGAAGAACATCATTTGTAGGCTCGGCATTCCCCACTCCTTAGTATCCGACAATGGAAGACAGTTCGACAACAGGAAGATGCGAGAATTATGCGACGAGCTAGGCATAAGGAAGGACTTCTCAATGCCTCATCACCCTCAAGCAAACGGACAAGTTGAGGCAGTGAACAAAACTATCAAGCACACCCTAAAAAGGAAGCTTGACACCTTAAAAGGCACTTAGGCGGATGAACTCCCCCACATCTTCTGGGCCATCAGAACATCTAGTTGAACTGCAACAAGGAAAACACCATTCTCGATGACCTACGGAGTCGAGGCCATGAGCCTGTTCGAGGTCGGGTTCCCATCACACTGTCGGATACACTTCAATGAGATCAGCAACGACGAGGCTCGAATAAGCGAACTCCACCTCCTTGAAAAAATGAGGTATGCTTCCCAAATGAACTTGGCAAAGTATCATCGAAAGATGACTGCTATTATAACTCCAAGGTCAGAAACAGAACTCTTCGCTTGGGGGACCTTGTCCTTAGAAGGGTCTTCCAATCTTCAAAACTAACAGGATCCGGAGTGTTTGGACCGAACTGGGAGGGCCCTTACTGTATCCACAGAGAATCTCGACCTGGCACTTTCGAAATTGAAGACATGGCAGGAAAGGCACTACCTCATCAATGGAACATTGAACATTTGAGGAAGTACTATCAATAATGAGCCTTTGTTCCGATCCGATCTCAATATTGCCTAATGAATGGGTGTTTTGATCTGATCTTAGTTATAAATTCTCTAGCTTACTAAGTGCTGAAATTGCCTTGGTAAAGTGTGGTGTAATTTGTCAAAGTAATGAAACTTCGGTTCTGTGCTACATCGGTTAGTAAATTGTTTCGTCAGTCCTTCAATATGTTTACTTAAGTGATCTCAAATTGTTAACCGATTAACGTTAAAAGGCACTTCATGTTTACTTAAGTGCTCCACTTCATATTAACTTGAGTGATCCGATCTTCTGTTATTAACTGGTTATTGTTAAGAGGTGCTTAATCTTGAATGTTCATACAAGGGTAAACAGATCAATACAATAAGATAGCAGAAGCACCAATACTTAACAAAAAATTTCATTTTATTTACTTGAATTTGAAATACAAAACGGCCGAAGCCATTACAAAAGTTTGCCCTATTCTACTAGAGGGTCTTCTCGGACCGCTTCTGCCTCGACCGCCTCCGGGGCCTCCTGAGCTTCTTCAGCAAGCCTATCAGGCTGGCCTCCAGTTGTTCCCCCGAACTCTGCCGCCAAAGAGGACATGTCCAGAGTGGGGTGGACCTCTTTCAACCGACCCAGCAAGCCTTGGGCACTCCAGGAGGCCCAAAAGTTGGTGAAGTCGTCGTACAGGGGGTGTTCTTCGAAGTGGTCAATGAAACTCTGAACCGCCACCCCCCTGCCGACTTCAACTCCTCCTTAAAAGAGGCGATCTCCTCAGATTGAGCCTCTGCATTTTGCCTCAGCTCCGCCTTTTCTTTGTTTGAGGCCTCCAGAGCCTCCATGATGAGTCGGTGGTATTCGTTGGCGTGATCCACTCGCCGACTCATGGTAGCTACCTGGCACTCCACCTCATATAGCTCCTTCTTCAGAGGCTCTACTTCTGCTGTGGCGGCAGTCAGCTGGGCCTCGGCCTCCTTCCGTCCCTTTTCCTCCTCAGTGGCCTTGGCCCGGGCCTCTCTCACAGCGTCCCCGTACTGCATTGCCTCCTCGAGGCGCTTGGCGAGGTCCTCCCTCTTAGTGTTCAGATCCTTCACCAAGCCCTCGAGTTGGATGCTTGTGTTGAGAGCCTAGGCCACGCAGGCACTGTTGGCCGCCACCAGGTCTTCGACTAAGCAGGAAGCGGTTCAGGTCCCTCCACTCTTCGGTCCAGTATTTGTTGTGGACCACCACCATCACAGCCGTTTCTGGAGGAAGGGCCTCCAACACTTCTTTTACCGGCTCCTCTGGGTTGATGCCCAAGAAGTCGACCTCCTAAGAGGGACGGGCCCTCTTTCTCCTTTACTGTCCCGACACTTGGGCGATAGGCATGACAGCAAGTGGCGAAGTGGTCGGGACAGTAGCAACCTCTACCGGTGCAGGCCTCTTCTTCGAAATGACCACCCCGATTGGGATTGTAGTCTGCTTCAGAATGGAGTGTGGCCTCGCCACAGTTGGGCGTTTTGAAGGGGCGACACTCTTTTTGCCCTTCCGCAACAGGTCAGCCTCGAGGTCCTCTGGCACCTCCTCCTCCGTCAGAGGCTGGAGCCTTTTACTGGCATCCACCAGGTCCTCCATTTACTTCTTGTAGGCGGAAGATGAGGTCTTCAGTGTCCGTGCCTCTGCCATCATCCTTTGGATGGTCTTAAAGTCGAGGTGCACGGGCATCTTCTTCTTGAAGTTGTCTGCAAGGAACAAACGATGAACTAGTACAAGTGTAAAGAGTTCAGAAATATTGAAGGGTAAAGGCTTCGGGACAGTTACCTTGAGATGCCATCAGATCGTGTGTAACGAAGTGTAGATTTTTCTAATCAGCCAATGGTATGACCTCTTCTCCTGAGGCAGCTGATAGATGATGCAAATGGTGTCAAAGTCTTTGAAGACAGTTCGCACCGAGGAAGAGTACCTTCAAGAGAAATACAAATGTTAGTCACGATCCGAATCGAAGAGAAATATAAAGAAACGCAATTGCGATACTCACTAAGTGTCGAGTACTTCGTGGTGACTGTAAGAGGTGCCAGGGGGTCCCCCTCCATCGTATCTTATCGTCCTGTGGCCCAGCACCATGAGCTCTTCCATTCTTTGATGGAGCTCGACAGATCGAGGACGAATGAAGTATGGGAACCCCATGAAGTAAGGTAATACCAGCCCCGGATCTTATCCCTCCCGACAGTTACTTTAGGGATATAAAGGGTCTGAAAGACGGAGAGGGGCATCTCAACCCCAAGTGACGCCTCTTTCCACAACATCCAGGAGCCCACCATTTGGCTCTAGGAGTTCGGATTGAGTTGGGTCAGAGCTAATCCATAGGACCTAAGTACCGTCCTAAAGAAATGGTGAATTGAAAGCCTAAGGCCGGCTCTAAGGATCACCTCACTTATAGCCACGCACTCCGGCCTAGGATAGCAGGCCCCCTCTTCAGGCTTGGGAAGGATCAGATTTATGTTATCTGAAATCTTATATTCTACCCTAAGTCTCTCTAGGTCGGCCTCCTTTAGTTTGGAGGGGTAATCTGACACCCCCCAGTGCACAGAAGTATCAACCGGGCTATCCAGCCTCTTCCATATATTCTCCCCCCAAGTATCGCTTCGGCTATATCGGAGGAGGTCGCCACAGTGGGCTTGTCCATCCTCACTAATTCTAGCCCCCTCCCCGAACCAGAACTTCCCTCAAAAGCCATTTTTTAGAAAGTAAATGTCCCAAAAGTTATTGAAACTTACGAATTCAGAGGTTTCCCCAGTCAAAAATGGTCAGGAAATGGTGTAAGGTCGTCGAAAATTGATATTTCTCGCCGAAAACGCTCGAAAAATGCTGGAAATCACAAATGATTTGAGAACAAAGTAAATTTTCTGTTTGCACAAGGATGAAAAGCTTCAAAGACGCTCAAAGTCCGCCTTTTATAGAACGCTCCAACTGATCTCCACCGTTGAATTCAAATGCAATCAATTTAGGCCGTCCGTCACATCATCAATCTAGGCCGTTGAAATGAAATGCCAGATTTAATCTACACCTAAGATCTTGCTGTGACCCTCACGCTCGCATAAAACGCGTCACCTCGATCACCACCAGCCGTCGACAATAAGTAGCCGTAGCAGCATTTTAGGGGAATGGGCATGACACCCAACTGTCACCTTGGAAATACGCAACAGCTGTCAAATCATTTAACGTCAGATGCCCGCCTTGGGTCGATCTCCTCACTCAACTTTACAAAGCTTGGACACACTTGACGCGGAGTCCCCTGTGGGTCATCGCCTTGGTCGCTGCGTTCCCTCCTAAGCTTTACAAAGTTTCAGCCATCTCCCAATGCGTCGTCCCCTATGGTTCAGCGCACCGGTGGTAGATGAGCTCCTTATTCAACTTTACAAAGCTTAGACGTACCTGACGCGAAGTCCCCTGTGGGTCATTGCCTCGGTCGCTGCGTTCCCTCCTAAGCTTTACAAAGTTTTTCAACTTTACAAAGCTTAGACGCACTTGACGCAGAGTCCCCTGTCGGTCATTGCCTCTGTCGCTGCGTTCCCTCCTAAACTTTACAAAGTTTTAGCCATCTCCCAACGCGTCGTCCCCTATGGGTCAGCGCATCGGTGGCAGATGAGCTCCTCACTCGACTTTACAAAGCTTAGACGCACCTGGTACGGAGTACCCTGTGGGTCATCGCCTCGGTCGCTGCGTTCCCTCCTAAGCTTTACAAAATTTTAGCCATCTCCCAATGCGTCATCTCCTATGGGTCAGTGCACCGGTGGCAGATGGGCTCCTCATTCAACTATACAAAGCTTAGATGCA